TGAGCCAGGAGCCCACTGAGCCGCCAGTGCAAATCCAGGGCAGCTCCAGGGATGTTGGATTTACACCTTTGTTAGGGACTGTTGGGGCTGGACATCTGCCACCTGGAAGAGCTCTATGAAGTGACTCTTTTTCCTTCTCCGCTTTCTTCTTTTCCCTTTTCTCTCTCTTCCGCTTTGCCTCTCCTTTTCTGCATCTCTCTCTGTCAGTGTGTCCTTAGTGGAAAGAAAACACACAAAYCCCTGCGTGTTCCTTGGCTGAGGTTGCTAGCCGAGCTAGCCCTTAAAATAGCAGCAAATACTGGAGACCTCGGAGTATAAACCAGGTCAATGGCTCGAGGTCAGCAGCAATTTCTCTTTCGGGCAATTTCTGCAGGGCTCATCACGTTTCTCACCAGGTTCCTCAGGGTTCCTCAAGCACAAACATCACAAACATCCGCCTGTTGCTGTCCCGAGTGTCGCCTCATCTTCTGCCAAGGGCAGGGAGAGGGGACCGCTTGCGGCCGGGTCCAGGAAAAGCCTGGAAAAAGCCTGCAGACTGTTGGATCCAGTGGCAGGGGCGCGGGGGCTGCCTGCCAGCCGGGAGGCGCGGGAAGGCGCCACGCGGCCCCGTTCCCACACTGGGGCAGCCAGCGTTCACCGGGCTCCATGTTGTCACAGGCTGAATATACACGTGGTGTTTGGGGGGCTTGAGGGGGACCCAAACATCTCGATCTGCTGAACCAAACGCAGGGAATTGTCTTACGTGGGGAAAAAACTCTATATAGGAAAGAGAAAAAGTCAACTACTTACTTGTAATTTTATGGAAAATCACAACCGCTTTTCATTGCTGTTTTCGTTTCCAAATGACCTATTTTTTTAAGCACTAAAAACGTGGGGTGATTTACTGAGCTGCCACAGGACTGAGCCACCCCAGGCTAAGCAGCACAGCAACATGGGGGAATCTTTCTGGCTTTATTCAAGCCAGACCGAGCTTGCTGGGGCGATTGCCAGTGCTGGATTTTGCTTTGTGTTGAGGGGTGCAGACAGAGCAAAAACCCTCTGGAGAGCAAAACCATGGTGAGAGAAAGAGCCCTTCGGAGAGAGGCTGATCCTGGGTAGAGCCACCCGACAGCTGCTGCTGGGCAGATGTCGGTCACGTAGAGCTGGTGACTTCGGAGCACACAAATTAGTGCACCAGATCACTAGCCACAGAAAAGAGATCAATATTCTACAGGACATATGGGGAAAAAAAAGAAAGAAAATGGTTTGTGCCGTTCACCTTTTTCATGTAAACCACAAGGCAAAAAAAATGCTTTTCTAGAAACTCTCATGCTAGAACCATCCCATACCGTTGTGATTAATTTAACACAAAATCTCTCCTAGAGATATCCATCTGCTTAACAGGTCTAGGATTATTGCTGGTGTTTTTCTGGAGACAAGTGAGAATGGTTTATTCCACCTGAGTCTCTTTGTACTCTCCGACCACAACCCATGGAATAATGCCTGTCAGTTAGCTATCACCTAACATCGTTTACTGAATGTTCCCAGAAACATCTAAGATAAAAAATATATGCCATTTGGACCTTTTGTTATTAAAATGGTTTAAACATCTAAATTATGAAATAGGTAAAGCAGTATGTTTTACTTATTTTATAAAAATGAACTTTTTTTTTACAAATATGGTAATCATGTTCGTACGCAACCAACTTCACCAACTGGGTTCAGTGATGAGGTAATTCAGCTCCTAGATGTAACAGATATTTTTACAGTGTAGTGTCATTTTAAAATTATTCTTAAATTTTAAATAAAATTATTCTTAAATTTTACATAAAATTAATCTTCAAAAATAAACGAACTTCCTCCAGTGATAAAAGTCACGTATCTCTGAATAGATAAGCTTATAGGGCAGTGTGTTTTTTGTGCAATAGAGAGCACCTCTACAGCATCCTAAGTCTGTCCTTTCTACACAAGGTGGAAGTAAAAGCTGCACCGTAAGTTTTCTTAAATAATGTATCTTATAATATGATCTCAAAGGAGAAAAAATAGTAGGAAAACCTTACATGCAGGAGGAGCAGCTGTGTAACCAAGATAGGCTTCGATGTTTTCTCCGAGCATTTCTGATAAAGAATGTGCTCCTGAGAACCTGCAGGCTGATGTGCGGACACGGGAAAATGTCCTCCCACGATAAACGAGGAGTCTCTCATTAGCAAACTGCTCGAGTGCTACTACGAGGCGCTGGTGCAGCTGGCACCGTTCCTGCGCAAAGAATAATTCATTGCCATGGTTACCAGTGCTAGAAATATTACCCTCCGCAATCAGCGTAAACAAAGATCCTTTCACGCCCGTGTAAGAAAATARAGCGCTTGAGACAATTAATGGAAATGATAAATCGTTCCGAAGTCAAATTTGTGCAGTGTGAGCACTGCAGCTTTTCTGACACCGGAGGGGGTGTGAAAACGCACTGCCAAGGTCTGGTTGTCTCCTAGGCCTTGGAGGGCAGGGCCGGAGCCCACCTGGCAGCGGTGCTTGGGGAGACCCCCTAGCCGTGGGGTACATCTTCAGCGTGCTTAAAAACTGCCCCGCTCTCACAGGAATCCCTAAGAGTGAGGAATGCAGTGTTGGTGGCACATCATGACTCATGTCAACTGTAGCCCGGGAGGGAGCACAGTCCCGTGGTGACAGCAGTGCGAGGGGATAGATGTCTGCCTTGCAGCTCTCGCCATATCACAAGGACTCCCCTGTCATGAGCAAGAGATTCAGGCCGAGATCCTAAAAATGGAATAAGGAATCCAGAGACAACAAGTTAAGCTAAGCTCCTGAGCTCCTGCTACATTCCTGCAAGCTAACCTAAGAACCTGAGACATGAGGTTAGCATCACTAAAAGGAAAGTAGCTGCTGAAGCAAAAGAAAAAAAAAAAAAGCATTTTGTAAGATTTACAAGTTGGGTTCAGATAAAGTCAGCCCAATTATTCAAAACTTTCAGAAATAATGTGACCTCAGCAACCTACAGATGATCATATTCTTACACATATTTGAGAACAAAAGAAAATGAATGGAGAGCTCCATCACTGTGCATGAGTAACAAGGCCATCTCAAACATCCTCGCGGCAATATATACAACTCACTAGGACTTTTTGCTAATCTTCCTTTTCTTCTTTCTGAGTCTGCCTAATTAAAAAATGATTGCATACCACCTAAAATTTCCCCAGCATTTCACATAGCTATAATGTTTTTGTTTCTTTCTCTTTTAGAAAAATGCAATTAATGTGTAGAACTCATGGCCACAGGATACAATTGAAGCAAAGGGCCTCAAAAGATTCACTAACAGCGAATATTTATGAAAAAGGGAATCATTTCCTCTATGGTAACCAGTGATAAAAATAATTATCTTCAAAACAGAGACAAACTACTAACTTCAAAAAATTAAGAGGATTCTCTTCCACCAAATAGGTACTGCATAATCATGCACAACAGTGTCTTTATATGTCTTTTTAAAATATTTCTTCTACAGGAAGCTGTGAACAGCAACAGGCTGCTTAGCTATGTGGGTGACTAGTTTAACYAATATATCAGTTCCTTCATTCCCCTTTTTTCAGAGTCATTGTGCCATCTTGCTTTATGATACCTGGCTCGTCAAATCGCAAGAACAGCTGCTTTCTGGCCGTGTGGTGGAGGGCAAAGAATAACCACTATGGCCTAACTAACTGGAAAGCTAGAAGAAAGGAAAAAGCATAACATTCCCAGAAGACTGGTCCTGATTCCTGACCTGGAGTTTCCTCARTCGGCGTAACGAAGATTGAGAGCGTGGTCATCAATTGAGCAAAGATTTGCAGGACACAGCAGAAATACCTTCTAGTTTATAGAGTATCTGCAGCAAGGTCTAAGAGCAGACGTGCCAAGAGGCACGAGAGGTGTTAGCGCTCACCTCACTCCTTCTTCTGCCCATGGCAGGGGTAGAGTCCCCACTGTGTGGCTTCAGGGAGGACTTTAATATCTCCTCTCCCAGCCCTGGAGGAGTCATGCTGCCAATTCCCCTTGGCACCCCATGGAGCAGCACTGCAGCTCGTCTCCATCTCTTTATCCTAAGTTTGCAGAGCCATGGAAAGAGCTGCATWGCTGCTTTGGGAGCCCAGGAGACACCAACACCACAGCAAGTGATAGGTCAAGGCAGCTCCAGAGCTTCTCTTTAACCAAATCCTCATGCTGAGGATCTACCGTTAGCATTCCATGCAAGGAAAAAGGGAAAAGGGGTTTCCTTCCATTCGGGCCATGGCCKCATGTGTCTCTGCTGAGGCAGCATGGAGACAAATCTGAGAGCACTGCAGTTGTCTCATGCTCTCAGCTGCTTCTCAAATCACTTCACAACTAAAACATCAATRGTAAAACATAAATGATTTAGCTTCATTAAATCTTTCTTGAAGAAGGAACKCTACCATCCTCATTTAGAGGTGGAAGAAGCAAAGAGGAAAAGTTTGATACCAAATGTCATATAGGATGTCTGTAAAAGAGCCAAGGATATTATGAACCCGTCTCCAGTCCCCGGTCCAATTATTTGGCCATTCTTCTCCTTCCTGATCTGTGTTAAACATCCCTATAACAGAACTGGGAAACCTAGAGAGAAGCCCTGCATTAGCACAGAAAAACACTAGGGAAGAGTATGTTCAGAGGTGCAGATCAAGACAAGGAAGCAAGTAGTCCACACACTTAATCGAAGGGGTCCTCAGCTCTGCTCAGCAGCCTCAGCAGGGGCTGTAACTGGAAGCAGAGCTCGTAACACCAAAGTATTTAATGTCCTCACTGTGGGGGGACAAGCCTGCAGCTGGGAGGCCTGGAACAACCACGATGGCTGTAGGTCAGGAGCCTCCTGAAGAAGCATTTTGTAGCATGCTCCTGCACATCATCCACCCAGAGAAAAACAGATGTGACAAGATAACGTTGAAAGGAAATCCCAGCAGAGAGAGAAAAATCAGGAAGCTTGTTAAGGAGCCCGTTGCCATCTGGAAGGCCGGAAGAGGCCCACATCTGTGGAAAAGCAGGACCTCTGGGGGAAGTCCCGGTGCTCAAGCGCAGCCAAGTTGCGAGGATGGTGACCCACCAATGGGCCCTGGAAATGCGAACAGAGTTTAAAGGAGGAAGCTGGTGGTCATTTTCATGAGGGTTCAGAGTATATAGCAGCATCTGAAATAATCTCCTTTTGCTGATTGTTGGCTTTGGCACAAAACAGTAACTYTGTGGCCCAGAGGGCTTAACTGAAGATACAAGGAGGGAAATGAGAGCACATTTGGGCTCTTGATTTGCTAATAGGAGCCCTTTGTGCTGTTTATTGGTTCAGAGCCATCTCCTAGGTCTTAACTCTTTATTCCTYAGTTACCATGAAAACATGAGGTCTTCCTTGACTATGCATTTTAGTTCTCAGAGGTAAGAGCATTCTTCCCGAYCGGCCACTAAACTCCCCTCCTTGCTGTTAAATCTGGGGCACAGGGAGGGGACAGGGGACCTATGCCATGGAAACAGATGCCTTTGAGTTAGTAATTGGTTTTCTAGTAACTGATCGTTTCTATAACTCGGCCCAGCGAACACCAGCTTCGTGCTGGCCTTCCCGTGTGGAAACAAAGTACAAAAGGCTTTTGCTTTTGGTTAGTCATGTAAATCCCCCRCTGAAGCTCATCCGAACAGAACGGTAGTAAAAGGCTGTGCTATAAATAGTGCTGTGTGTTTGCGGGGTGGAGGCAGAAACGCAAGGTTTCGTTGCACATACGGAGGATCCCAGGCCTCTCAGAGCCAGGGGCTGACATTTGCCTTTCTGCCTGTGCTCTGATGTCTGCTTTGTTTTCTGATAAAGTCATTTACTTTAAATTGGCCTGAATGCATGCTGCATCTTGAGAGAGAATTACAATGCAGCCTAGGCAAGTTAACTTAACCATGTAATCTGGTCCAACTGCTATTTCTTAAAACTTGCAGAATTTGGGGGGTTGTATTAGAAATTAGGATAAAAAGAAAAATTCAGTGCCATCGTGGATATGAATTTTTCTAAAGCTCTGAGAAAGCAGCAATAGGCAGCTCTGCAAAGGATGCACACGCTGCATAGGAGCTTTTTTTGCTGATTTGAATGAAGCTGTTCAGATGCAGTGGCTGCATAATCAGACACCAAATGTGGCATGATAATGAATGGATATGGTCTAATTAGAAGGATCAGAAGCTTAATTTGTTAACAAGGAAAAAATATAGATCTATTAGCAAAAGAATAGCAGGACTGATTTCTTCACTATAAATACAATATTTTTGTAAGATTTGTTACCTGTCAGTAAGCAAAACCTATTTGTGCAGAATGTAAAGGGCAGAAACTCRGGAAATGACAGCTGTAAATGCAATATATTCCCATGGTGAAGTTATGCTAAGATTAGATAATTTTTAAAATGTCTTCGGTTTTCTTCAAGAAATACCAAAAAAGAAAAAAATCATTTAACTTTTGTGACCTCCATTTTTCTTATCCTCTACAGCATTTTAACATATCTTTCTTTTTCACTTGCCCACTTTAAATTGTGACCAGTATCACCACAATGATACTCAAGAAAGGACTATTCGCTGCCCATGAGTACTAAAACACATTTGACTCTATTTATGAAAATCTAATTTGTTGCAAAATTTTGTTGTGTTTTCATCTTTAGAGGTGAACTAATGTAGCCAGGCAGGAACAGAACAGATTTTTTTACTCTATGCACAGCTTTGCTGTGCTTTCTATCTTTGTTATAGTGTTTGATCATGGTCATGGTTGTTTTTCTTTGCATTCTGCATATTGCCCAGCAAAATTTGCCATCGCCAGGCGAGCAGCTCAGCATCGCTTGTTCACACAGTGCCATAGTCTACAGCTGAAGAACACCTACACTGTGTTCTTTTGAGCATCTTTATTTTTGTTCACCCCTTTTTGCCTTTTTTTAGAAGCTGAAGATGAAAGTTGGCTCAACCTGGATGTGCAGCTATGTGTGGAAACGGCACGTGTGGTGATCCCACCCTCTCTGCTGTCGGATACAGCGCAGGAGCCATGATGCCTCCATTACTTCAGTGTCTCCATTGCATCCCAAATGGCATAAGCTCAGCCTTTAATATGTGAGATGGAAGAGCATTTTTATCTCACATTACAGTCCTGGATATGCAGCAGAAATCCTGCATCTTTGTTTATTTCTTGGAGTTCCCTGAGGCATGCAGCTGGCCACAGGTTTTTAGGCTCCTCCACAGCTAGATGCAGCTGATTTTGTGCATCAGGCTTTAAAGTGAGTAAATAAAATAATGCCTTTTATAAATACAGGCAGAAGTGACTTGCTCAACACTACCTAGAAAGGAAGCTGTGGAAGCAGGACTCAAACCTACTTGTGCAGATCAGCAATGTGGGTGAAGCCACAGGCCCTCCTTCCTTCTCCGTGGCCCTAATTCACCTCACCTGTGATCCACGTAGGAGCTCTGCATAAGGCACTTTGCAAAGGGCTCGAGCACAAAGACACAGTATCAGCAAATGTTGTTTGCTGGCTTTTGTGCACCTGTGGGAATTCTAGTTCAACAGATCCCARTCTTTTTCTCATTGCACTTGTCCTACAAAATGGCATCCATGGGGGCCATCTCCATCTATATCTCTTAAAACATGTTAATTTTTCCTGAGCTGGAAAAAAAATGCACATATCTGACAAGGAAGAGTCCTATTCATTAGTCATAATGAGAGAATTCCTATTGCTACATTTAATGGATTATCTGAGCGAAACAGGAAAGGTCTCTGCAGAGCAAAAGGAATGATGTGGCACTAGGGATGAAGCAGGTTCKTACTCCTCATCTGCCACAGAGGCAGCTGGAGCTGCTGAACTAACCCTTTGCAGAAACCTTCGAGCCTCCCTCCCATCTCCCTCAGGGCACTGTGGAATGGTTTTAATTGGAAGCAGATGTGCGGCATGGTAGGTAGGAGCAGGAGTCTGCTCAATGTGAGCTCCTAGTAAATAACTTCTGAATGATCACTTTGGGATGAAAAAATGCCATGATTCAAGGGAAAGAGTTTAAAATGAGATTAGCACTCACARTCTGTTATCTGGGCAATTAGTCTTGCCCATATTCCTTACCAGTTATGAGGAGTCAGGAATAGTCTCTTCTCTCCCTTGCTCTCTAGGTTTGTAAGATGGATGAAGCATTCAGTTTCCAAAACAGGTCACAGAGACGTTTCCAGGTCATCACTCCCATTGCAGACATTTTGGGGATTTCATTTTCCGGTAAGGTGGCCATGAAAATCACAGAGATGCATTGTTGGGAACGACTGATCTGGGTTTTAATTGGGAAAGGATTTTTAGCTCTTAATAAGCACTCAGCCTCTTCAGCTTGATTACAAAAATAATTTGGGGACCAAATCTCCTGTTTTTGTCACAAGGGCTTCCCAATTTARAGCATGTAACAGAACTACCAGGCTATTATAATCTGATTTTGTGGATAGCGTTAACAACTGCCTCACATGGATTTACAGTCATGGAGCTGCATGAGGTTGCTGCCCCTTTACTCTACACTTCATTGCAACCTCTTCCCACCAGAGCCCAGCAGCTCCCCTTGGGCACAAGCAAAGGGAGCACTGGGCAATTAGCTGCAGCTGGGAGCACTTTACATCTGAACTATTCCACTTCCAGATGCAGGAGTTAAAAAACATGAAAGTACAACAGGGGCAACAAGCTGGGAAGGCCAGCTTGTTGATTCCCAGTGCATTGATTCATTGGGAAAATATTTCTTCAGCCTAATTTCAGCTATTGGGAATGTTTCTGGCAGTAGGATGAGTTTATGTTGCATTACCTTGTCCTGCTCATTACCTCTATAACAAACTTTCTTGCACAGTGTTGCCAGGGCTCAGGAAGAAGCTCTTACCCAGCACCAAAATCCAGCTCATGCCACAGAGCACTGTTAGCTCAGAGAGCTGCTGTTCATTTCCGTACACTGGGCTTTGCTGTTCCATGGAAAGCCTGGAGGAGATTTTGCTCCAGTTCTTATCCTGGCTGGTTGGAGAGCTTGCAGCATGGACATGTAGCAGCACRGCAGCTGCCTGACCCTTAACAAGGCAGTGCTATTAGCTGAGTGGAAAAAAATAAATTAAAGGATCAAAATTAGATTGATGYAAATATGCTATGCATTTTCTGAACTTAATAAACTTACAGAAGATTTCAAAACAGAAGTTTTAATAAATATAGCTTCAGTCAATCATTCAGTTGATGTGTGCCTGACCAAGAGAAACAGGAAGCAAGGCTGATTTGTGAACAAATGAAATGAATCCACCCTCCCTTCCCCCAACACTATCTAACTGGAGCTAAGGCCAAAGTAACAGAGAACAGGTTAATAAAACACAAGACCAAAAGTTACTCTGATTTATGAAAGCCCTCCCATAAGTAGCAAAATTAGCCTAGTAATTCTGTGCTGTGATTAGTAAAACTGCTAAAGGCATTTCTACATCAAAATGAAAGTGCATACATGCCCAAGTGATCTTTTTTATGCTATTTTGGGAGCATCATTGCTCAATGTGTTTCCTTCAAAAGCTTAGTATTTTCCATTCATTGAGGTCTGTCYGTCTCTCTAGGTTGAGGATCAAAAAGTAACCTTCACGTTCATCAATGAAAAGTGACAACTGATTTTATTGACTGTACTCATTATAACACATAATATGACAGTGGGAATATTTTTCATGGTGAGATTTTTGAATGGAAGAAGAAAAGTGCAGTTAGTCTGAGTTCCTTACATTCATTAGAAGCAAGACTACTGAAACCATCAACATTAACAGTGACACATAAGCAAACACCAGAATCAGTGCCAATAAATACACAGAGAACCAAAATAAATATTTACAGAATTAAAAATATAATAAACACTGATTAGTATATCCTCATGAACTGTCAGGAAAGAAAGACATCTATTGCTATCAGGTTTTAAATATGTTTTTAAGAATACAGTGACTTGAGGAGACACATATTCATCAAAACTTGTAGAGGTGTAAAGGAGCTCTAACAGTCTCTGATAAAAATACCCCTAGAGTGTTCTTATCTTTCACTTGGAAGAGCTGATGCACACAAACTTGCCAGATTATTAGCAAACCATTTAGATAACGAGTTGGGAGTTCTGGTTTTGCTGGCTCATTATCTCAAATAGGTCACACACTGCCTTCCTGGAGGTGGGGCCACAAATAATGCAGGGGAAACTGTAATTAAGAGCAATCTGTCAGCTATAACGTGGCATAGAAAGAAAGAAGTGATGTCTAGCACATCTGTCCCTTCCAGCACAGAAAAAAGGCCAGGAGCGTCAGCTTGGCAGATGCCGCGTGGCCACGTCTTCCTTAGGCACACGGTGGTATTTGAAGAAGAGCTGAAAAGCTCTGAGAGCAAACACTGAAGCCATTCTGCATTTCCCACCAGCTACCTTTGCATCGCATTCCACATTTCAACGCTAGACTTTTCCCGGGACAGATTGTGCTGACAGAGGACTGAAAGTTCACGAGACCAAATTACRGCGTCTTGACTCAGTCTTAACAACAAGGAGCCCTGCTAATGGGTCCCCTGCTCTCAGGGGGAACGCTTGCGACACGAGATACTGCTCAGCTGTTGCAATCTGCCCCAGCACTGGATTTACTTGGATTTTACACCAAGGTAACAGCTTTACCCTGCAGAAACGTAGGGTAACCTCGCTTGAATGAGCCAGATGCTACTGAAGGTTGTTTACACCCAGACCTGCTGCCACTCCTCCTTGCTGCACAGGGCACTATTTACTCCCTTGCTCTGGAGCCAGGAGGTCTCACCAGCACCCACCCGGCCTCATCTGGTCCCCAGATCAAAGAAGGGCAGAAGAGCAGTGAGATGCCAGGGCCTGGAGCTGCTGGAAGCACCTATGCTAAAACTCCCCCCAAAACAGAAGCTAAGGAAGAGAGCAGCCACGCTACCGAGGCTCCCAGCACACCCAGCTCTTGGCACTCACGCAATCTGGCTCCTAGCTCAGCGCACGTGGCTACCCTAGCAGCACCACAAGGGCAAAATGAGACAGGTTTTACAGGCATATGCTTAACTCTCTCCTTTTTCCACATGAAACAAAAATTCAGCCTTGCTCTGTCCCATCTCCCAGCCACCCTACCAACCATTTCTACCAACCACCATCCTGGCTCCTTCTGGTGCTGGTGAACTTGACAGATGCCCCTATGTGAGGACACCCCCCCAGCTCTGCCAGCACCCAGTGATGCTGCCCAGCCTGGGGGTGCAGRTGAGCTGGAGGAGACCTTTCCCCTTGCTGCTGTGGACTAGAAACAYGACCAGCTGCCTAGCTTTAACATTTTAAGGTCAGACTTAATTCAAAGCAGATGCTGCCGATTTTCTTTTATGAGCACATTATGTTCAAAGCGTCTCCTGCATCTGCATGAAAGCCCCTGGAAAGAGCCCGACACCAAAGGGGCAACAGTTTTGATGCACCATCGTCCCCAATAATAGCAACCTGCTCACGTTCTTATCATGTGGTCCCTGCATATTGCTCTTCCTAAAAACAGATTTAAGAYGTTTCTGTGATACAATCAAAGGGAGACAAACCTAGTTACCATATCAAAAAACAAGAGAAGTGACACAAAAGGCAGGGGGCTGCTGCCCTGGAAAGGATCTAGTCCTGGTTCTGCCATCACAAGTGAAATTAAGGGTGGCAGTGATTGCGTTAGCTCTAATTTGGACATGCTGAACCGTGGGATTACGTGCAGGAGTGGCTGCTCTTTCAGATGGAAAAACAACAGGAAGATGTGCTCTGAATTCTGATCCGAGGAAGGGCTACTGCGATAGCACAAAACACTGCCCAGTCACCTCAACAATGTCCAGCGTTGCAAGAAGGGAAGACAYGTTTAGGAAAACCCTTCCTGCTCCCTCAAGCATCTCCTCCCRTTCCTGTGGAGGCAGTGGAAGCTTCGCCACTGCAGGACTGGGCCTTGGATAGGGATTGTCAGGAAACGCTGGGAAATGCCGGGTTTCCAGCGCTGTGGGCATCGCTGGGCTGCCTCCTGTGCCAGCTTGGCCGCAGCACTAGAGCTGAAGCAATTTTCTCCTTTTTACCACTGCTTTTGTGAGACTGCAGCCTGGGCACTGAGAAACCCTTCCGGCCCTGTGAAGTGCATAACCCTTTTCCTCTCCACAACAGCTTTGGTTCTATTTATTTAAATAAATAGAGACGGGAAAAAGAAAAGTGGTCTAATCAAAGAAACAGAAAGTGTGGACCCGGTCTCCATCCCAGAGAGCCTCCAGGCTCTTCCACAAGAGTGGCACTTTCCCTGCTAGATTTGTCCACAGAAGGGAAGTGATTTATTCCACTCCCATGCAAAACACCCCTTAACATCCTCATCCGTATATATGCACTCACACAGCAGAGGTTTCTCTTTTAAAGAACGTTACAGCATGTTCTGCGGGGGAAATAAGTAATTCTGCATGAGAAGTAGGAGCAAAATCCCCTTAAATAACATCGTGGCAGCAGTGGTACTGTGATGGAGGCCTGGGTCAAAAATCTTGGTGTCTCAAAGTGCAGTGTTATGGCTGAAGGGAGTCAGAGAAATATAAAGTGGAAAAAAATAGGGCAGTCCAGGCAGCAGTACTCACTGTTAGGGATGGAGAAGCTCTCTAGGGCAGGAAGAACTTTAAAGACCTGCTTTTGCAGGAGTAAAGGCCTCCAGGACGTGGTTTGAGTGGGCTATAGCTCTTAGTCCTTTGCATATGAGTGTATTGCCATTTTTTTTTCTCTACAAAAAAAAAAAAAAAATGTATCTAGGAAACACTAACACAAAGTTAAAGTTCCTAGATGAGATATTCACAGGGAAGACGAGATCTGAGCTAAAGACGAGCTCAAATATTCCTGTGGATTCAGGCTGGCTTAGAATAAGCTCTCGCCTTAGGCAGTGGTGCAGATTGTGGTACCTCCTGATGAGAGCAAACAGGGCACGAACTCGTGACAAGTGGCAGAGGGGGATGCTCAGCCTGGGCAGCTGGGGGACAACACACAGTGTCTCCTCAGCAATGAATCCGGAGCCAGCAGTGCAGTTCTGCTCGGGTAAGTGGGGCTGTGTCATCTTAGCAGAAACATAAACAAGGCAAAAGTGAATAAAAAAGGATAAAAAAAAATAAATAAAGGATCCACAGAAGAAACTGCCATATGCAAACTCCACCAAGACTCATTTCTGCAGCCTCTTCGAGATGGTGCCAATTGGTTTTTCCAAGGCAGAAGCACCAGCCTTTCATACCGACAGCTCTGAAAATGCTGATAAATATGGGATTTGATAAAAATGCATTTTCAGAGCCCCTTGCCTGAAGTGCCATATTTATCAGTGGTTAGATAATCATCTGCCCTGGAAGCGGCTCATGTTGCTGTGAACTGCCTCTCCCACACCACTATCTTCCTGAAAAGCCTTTCCAGAAAGCTGTCTATCCGAGCAGGCAAAAACACCCTCAGAGCACAGCCCTGTAGCAGAATCCGGGGCTCCCTTTGATTAAAAAATAACTAGGGTCTTGCTTTGCTAAGCAAAGCCTGGTAATTTGGCTCATCCGTACTTAGAGCATCTTACTGAAAATGCCAGCTCCATCAGATGTTTTGAAGACTTTGGTGCAATATTCACTTAGCTTAGATAAATAATTTAATAAGCTTCATTAAAAAATAATCAGCAAATTAATTTTTATAGTGTATGCATGTAATTTTAAAAATTCAGCCCTCTGCTACCCCAAATGGTAGTAAGGACATTCACAGTGGGTGAGGGAAATGCTGGTGATGGATGGGCTGAGACCAAACACGGTTCTTTTTATTCTAGTGCTATATTTTCTTCCGAAGTCTGTCACGTGGCTTTGAGTCCTGCTACTGGCAAGAGCAAAATCTATATGTGCTGTGGAAAAAATAAGACCCTTTATGTCTGTCTGCACACCTATAGCACAGGAAAGTTCTATAAAGGAAACTTCTATTAGGACAAAAGAAGTCCACCAAAACATCATTTCATGCCACTAAAAGGAAATCTTTTGTGCTGATATATAGGATAGGAATGTATATTACCACTGATATTACTGTAGATAGCTATAAAAGGCTATGCAATATATAGAAATATCCTAAGAACATACAAAATTTACCAGTAGTGACCTGAAAGTGCAAAGAGTACATATAACTAAATGGCAAGTCCCCGTCTATAAAATCCTTTATGGACGACATACAGGCTGATAAATACAAAGCATCATTCAGACCACAAAGTAACGAGTGAAACAAATAACCAAAAGTATTCCTTAAGAAAACCAAAGCAAYGACAGAACTGGGAATGATATTTTTGGGACTCCAAACATCATTTCTACCTTAATACCTACCAAAGCCAAGGAAAATATATGTTTAAACACCATATTATAGGGAAGGAAGCAAACTGCCACAGAATGCCTCAGGACTATTACCTCTTTGTGTCACAACCTTTAAATCCAGCAAGTCATTAATGGTTTGCTGCTAGGCCCCTCATAGTGTTTTACAGGGATCTCTCAGGAATTAAATGCAAGTTGAAAGAAAGTCTTTGAACCTCCTTTCGATGGTCATTTTAGGCATTGTGTGGAGTTATATTTCTATGGTAATAAAAAGCCCTAGTAAATATTAAGTTTTCAATTACCTTTTGAAACGAAAACATCAATGGCTTAAAGACTGAGGTGAGCTTCATAAACACAGAGTTAATTTGACCATTAAATCACAGGTTTGCTGTCATACAGCCGATGCCCTGAAGCCGTGTGGTGAGGACTCGAAGCTGCCACCCTGCCACGAGTGAGTCCCTTTGCYTTTTAGGGATATGATTGTCCTTAAAACAAGCACATTGCAGCAGCCAAAGGAGCCACCCAGGGCTCTGCAAGGCGCCCGTGCACCAGCTGAGCAACGGGAAACCTGCATGGGTGCTCAGGCAGCCCCTCTGGCGCCCTGCCATCCCATGGGAGCTCCCCGGCACCCTCCCATCCCACGGGAGCTTCCCGGTGGCACCGGGGCCGGCATGCGGAGGAAGGAGGCAGAGCAGGGCAGGAAACAAAAGCGAGAGAGAAAATGCAGGGAAGGCAAAACGGTTTTAATGCTGGTTCTTGTTAGTCGTGAGGGAGCGAGTCTAGCGTTACTCTACGTTCCTCCGGGTACAGACATGCCACGACRCAAACAAACGCACACGAGGGGTGTTTGCCACGCACGGGTCCTGCACACACGGCAGCCTCCATCTCCTAGTGCTTTTAAAGACGCCCGGCTGTGACGGGCGGCGCTTCCCGACCTCCTGGTACCGCCACAAGCTCCCGACATCCTCCCTCCTTCTCAACCTGCAGCCCCCCTGCATACAATTTCTCCCTGCAGCAAGACGGGGAAACAGGATTTTTCCGCAGGACTGTCATGCAGGGGAAGAACGTGACCCTTCCGCTCAGATGAAAGCAAAGGAATAAAACCRGGAATGTTACGATCGGGGCTAAAGCCTAGGATTAGTCTGGGGGGCGAGGGGGGGGTTCTGTACATTCATCCTTTTGGGGGTGTCTCAGCTTTAATTCTGTAGGACACACAAGCAGTGTCAGGCCATGTGCAAATCCCTTCCCCAGGCGAGGGAGCCCACGGGCGAGGGCTCCCCTACACATGCATATGTACAGCACGGCCGCGGGAGCAGGCGTGCACAAAATCACACACAYGGCTGCTACAGAGAGAGAGAGGAAAGAAAAGGGACACATATAAAATAATCTTCTGTGAAGTCTATTAAGGTTCTTATTCAAACCATATAAGCAGGACACGATGAGAAAAACTGACCCTTTCTCCCTGTTTACCCCCGGAAAGGGGGTGCAATTTGGTACTGGCTGTGGGAATTTCAGAGCCAGATTCCAATTTCCCCCAGGTGTTTTCCCCCAGTTARTCCCACCTGCAAGAGAAGGAATTCCTTTCATCGTATTTCCCAGCTTTTTATGGTTATCTATAACCTTAATATTCTTCAAATGCATATTCTGTATATTTATCTTCCTTTTCTTCTTTCAATTTACGAGACAATAAAGCCAACTGCTATGTAAGATCAGACCCATTAGCTTCAGTAATGTGAATTTAGTATTCTCTGCATAATATAGACATCTATTTTTTAAAATGTATATTATTTTTCAGATACACTGGAGTATATATTTTATATTAACTGTGGTCTGATGATTAAATACTCATACCAAAATATTTTGTAAATGCATTATATTTACCCTTAGACTTCCATGATTTTTGGAGCTTTTTCAGTGTATCATAAAAATATGTCCTCAGGCACATTAAAACCCTATTAAACTTCTCAGAAATGCTGCCAATACCCATGTACAGTAGCCACTGTTCACAAAAACACCCTGGCCATTAATACATTTCTCAGAGGATCCAGGCTCAAAAGACCATCTCATGGACCCCTAGCTTACCATATTTCTCTTTCTCTCTTAAAGTAACATTATTCTGAACTCCTTAAGAATGAAAATAAAAAAGCAACAAGAACCCAAACTTTCCTTAAATAGTCAAAAACTAATTTATATATTCTTAAAAATAATAATTAAAAAACACGTTTCTTTCCTGGGTTCCTTCTCTGTAAGGTTTAAGCCCAGAGCAACTTTGTGTATAAACCCCTGAAAATAGAGGTTTGCAATGGCAGTGCTGTCAGACCCTCAGCTCCAACACCCACAAAGTGCCACCCTAACAGGCCCAGCACCTCAGACTTCCTTAGCTGGGGATGCATGAGCCCACACAGGACAGAGTTTTGCTCTAGTTTAAGGTACTTACAGAAAGATCCACAATTTTAGAACTTGTAAAATTATCTACCTATAAAAACTAACTCTTGCTTACACTCTAGATAGTACAGACAGGTGATTTTTTTATATATATATGTATATATATAAAATCTGTAGCATCGAGGAAAACTGCTAAAATATGTATATATCTACACATGGAGAGCAAGTTATTGTATAAATGTGAACAGTGTGTATATATTGGCATTTAGTAGAATGTTTCCCTGAACCTGATTGTATTCGTCACTGGACAAGTATTGATGTAAACATCTGAGCCTAGGTCAGGTGTCTCTGTTACTCCTTTACGTTAGAGCAGACTGAAACCAAACAAACAGATGGACAAACAAAAATATTTTTCCTGTTAGACAAATCCACCTAATTCCTTAGTTAGCTACAGCACACAAGTCGATCAAGTCTGCTTCTGAGCAGTGCTCATGTTCCTACGTCAGGTCAAATACCTGTTTTAGGTCGTTTGTGTTTTGCTTGGCATTTTTTTCCAACATCTTGTGCAGCAAACACCATATTCGGAGTCGAGCACCCTCCCTCCATGCCTCTTCCAGAAATGATTAAGAGAAGTGTATTGGAAAACGCCTGGTGCTCCTCCCTGTGTGACTGCGTCCTTGGAGAACTCGTGGCACTGCTTTATGTGAAGAAAGATGCTCATTTAGGTTCATAATCCAAGTTCTGCTTCCACAAAGGCATGTAAAAATGAATCTCCCCTGTGTTCAGTGCTGCAGAAAAAAAGATACAAATGTAAAAAAAGTGCTTGGAAAGAAGTTGACTTTTCATACTCAGCCGTACAGAATAGTAAGAAGGGATTTGGAAGTACAGGCCCCTGGAGTACACAACAGGAAGCCTCTTAGTGCCTTTCTTCAGGTGATGCAAAACAAACTCATTATTAGTGGTCTCCTACACAAGACTTTCAAGCGCCAAACTTGCTGTCCATCTTTGTCTCCACGCCGTATTCAGCTACTTTTTGGCACTGTCCTGGTATGTGGCGGCTTTGACTGTAGTCCCTGCTAAGCCCCTGTTGCTGACCCGGCGCACCAGCACTTTGGAGACGGGGATTTTTGTTCTGTGCATCTCACTCTTGGCCAGGTGATGGTGCGCGACGTGGTGGCTGTTGCTGGCGTCTGCTGCGTGGCTGGCAGGGTGCGACGCAAGGTGTTTAATGCTGATGGGTATCTTGGAGTCCTTCACGGCGCTCGAGGGTGTTTTCAGCGAGCACGTGGTGRTTATTGGCGACACGGGCTTGGAGCGCGGCACGCTGGTGACCTCTTCATCAGAAGGTCCCCCCGGCGGGTTCTCCTCTGGCTCGGCATAAAGGTCGTAGAGAGCATCCCCACTGTAGCTGTCCCTGGGGATRGTCTCCTTCTGGATGCTTGTGGTGGTGTCTTCCTCCGGCCCGGGGGTGGTGGAGTCCCAGTAGCCCTCGTCACTGTTTGGGATGCCTTCGTGCTGCTCCTTCTCCCTGCCTTTCTGCTCCTCTTTGTGGTTGAGATGAATGGGAATCTGGTTGAGACCGCCACGTTTCACCGCCACCCTGTTCTGGGCCCCCTCGGTACCTCGGGTCTCCTTCAGCCCCTCAGGCGTCCTCGTCCCTCCTCCTCCTCCTCCTTCTATGTGGGTATGTGGGCTTGGCTCCTCTGTCTGTGACAGCATATCCCAAAACTCCTGCAGGCAAGTGTCATCCACCTGGTCCGGACTTGCCATCTCCTCCCCTCCTCCTTGGTAGGCCACCATGGTGGGGTGCTTCTTGGTGGCGCCYGGCTTGCTGGCCCCAGGGGTGCTCTTCCCGCAGGCGCCACTCCCGCCGCCCCCTTCCTCCTCATGGTCCGCAATAATATCTCCGCAGCCTGTAAGAGAGTCAAAGCTTTTCAGTGAAGTCACGTCAGCAAACATCAAACAAATACGATCAATCGATTGCTCTGAGGGTGGATCAACAGAGGAAGGGTCAGGGGCTGCTGCCGTCTCTTGACCGCTATCACATTCGGGTTCAACAAGGGGAATAGTCGTTATTGGAATGTCACCTGTTATGGCCGCATCCTTCGCAGTCCCAACCTCTCCTGCGCCCGGGTCCGGTTGCTCGGGGCTGAGCTCCTCGGGTCGGCTCCCAGCAGCGGCAGGATCCTCCCCGGAGAGGGCTCTGCTCTCCTGCGGCTCCCCGGCTCCCGCATCCGTCTCCTGGGCCGAGGCGCGCGGGTCTCTGACGGGCTTCTCGCAGGACGATTCGATGCTGATTTCTGCAGTGCCGTTCGGGGTCTCAGACAAAGGTTTCGGGGTCTCCTCCTTGATGCATTCCAAGCTGGCGGTCAGCGACCCCGGCATAATGAGACCGGATGGGATTTCGGAGATTTCCCCCCTCTCCTCCTTGCCGTTTTTGTCCTTCCTATGCCACCGCATACTGCTGAAGATCCCTCTCAGCCCCTTCTTTTGTCTGCCGCCCGCGCGCGGCTCTGCGCTCTCCCCCTTGCTGTTGTCCGATCTCCCGTTCTTCTTGAGCAGGGAGAAGAAGCTGTGCGACTTGGCCACCGCGCTGCCGGACGAGGTGCCGAGGCTGGCGGCGGCTGGCGCGTTTGCGTCCCTGCTCGGCTGCTCGCCGCCGGTGCCGCCGCCGCTCGGTTCCTCCTTCTTGCTGCTCTCCAGCACGGCATCGGCTAAGCCGTCGTGCGTCTTGCTCCGCACCATGCCCGCGTTGCCCGCGCCCTTCCCGTCCCCACCTTTGTTTTTCACCCCGAAGATGCTCGGCATGGGGCCGCCCGCTTTCCTCCTCTTGAACAGCTTGAAGGCCGTTTTGTTGATCCTGCCCGACGGCTGCTCCACGGCCGGGGGCTCGGCACAGTCGCAGTGCGAGTCCATGGCTGCCGCCCGCCGTCCCCRCCGCCGCCGCCTCTCCCTCCCGCAGACCCCCCAGATGCCAGGCGCCGATCCCCCTCACTGACAGCCCCGCCGCCTCCGCTGCCTCCCGCTCATCGCCATGGCAACCTGCAGCGGGATAAGCCGCTTTCCTCCTTCGCCGCCGGCCTGYGCCGGGCCGCCGCCATCCGCTCTCGCCCAACCTGAGCCGTGGCGGCCGCGCTCCGGTGGCGGCGCCCGTGCCCCCACCCCTCGCTGACAGGCCTTATATAACTTAACCCGTGTGGTCCCGCGGCCTCCTGGGCGCGGGCGGGCTCCCTGCGTGGCGGCGGGCACAGCACGTGACGGCGGCGCGGGGATGCGGCGAGCGCCGCGCGGCCCCYGCGTGCAGGAGCTTCTCCTGCGCCTGGCTTCCCTCGCCAGCTCCCCGTGTCTGCCTCACCTCGCCGCTTTCCTTCCTGCACCCAAACCTGGGTCCCTGCCACTGAGCACGGGCCTTCCTGTGCCAGCGTCCTCCAGCACGGCGGCCACGGCATCACGGCCCTGCTGCCCCAACACAGCGGCATGGAGCTGCTCCTGGACACAACCCCATCCAAAATCCTGAGCAAAGGGGTCCCGCTGGAGCCTGCCCTCACCCAGCAGTGTCCCCAGTGTGGCCACGGTTCCCTTTCGCCTTGTTCCTGCACACTGCAGCCCCTCTCTCGTGTAYAGCCTTGCTGGGGCTTCCCAAGGCCAGAGCGCCCATCTGGACCCTTTTAACCGTCCCAAATGCAGGCCACAACCCTTACAGMAGAGCTATATGTTGGCCCTTTGGCTTAGGCTGAATTCCCTTTGATGTTACTAAAGGGTTTTGCCGTGGACTGCATTGTTTGCAGGAATTTTTAATTTTTTTTAATTTTTTTAAACATCATCACACTCTCCCAGGGGAGCAGGTTGAATTATCTGTTGTGAATAATTCATCCCATGAATTTAGTCCTTTTTCTGTTTGTGTATATAAAGTTCCATTTGTATTTGCAGTCGCCACACACTCAATAAGAGCAATATGGACTCATAACTCAGCTTACAGGTCTCTCCTGCCTTTGCAAGAGGAAAGGACAAATGAGCCCAAAGCCCTGATTCTGCCTAAAGGAAAAGCATCAAGTACATTTTACTATGTGCCTAGCACCCAGMAAGCAGGAGGACGGACAGGAACCTTGGCTGGTAGCTGTAAGCTCTTCATCCGCTCTTCACTTTGACTGCACCTTCATCAATCATGTCRTGTCATGAGTCCCCCCAACACCTCGTGTGGGTTCTGTTCAGATGGCTGGAGCATGATAAAAAAGATAAAATACTGAATTCCTTTGTGCAAATGCAAATACACTGGGCAGACCTCCTTCAAAAATTAAATACAAAACCAAAACAAAACAGAAATATAGTCACATGCCTTAGGGAAAAAGTGGACAAAACAGCTCATAACTATGAGGCCATCTACCAGATGGCTGAACTTACCAACATTTGCACACTGAAATGGGTGTTTTGCAACATTTCATCAGTTCTTACAAGCATTGAGACTAAAGGCACAGGGTACAGAAATACAAAAAGCAGAGGACAGATGACTTAATGCTTCGCAGCTGCATGAAACACACACATTATTGTGCCCTCTCTTTTTGTGTGTGAATATCTGCAACCGTGATGGAAAGGCTGGGTTTTCAGCTTGATTTTCAGGCAGCTTAAAATCCAAATTTTAAAGAAGGAAAGTGACCTAAGGTCTGCCTGAAATTGCTACTTGACAAACTGATATTTTCCCACATGCTTTTGTTTCAATCATTTTATCAATTTTAAAATATTTAAATATCCTTGACACTTTTAATTTGAAAGTGACAAAAGAAACATYCCAACTTGTTCAGATTTATTTTTAAAAATCATTATGTTTTAATCTAAGCATATGAATTCACAGCATGCTTTGGTAAACCCACACTTGCACGGTTCAACAGGCAAAGCTTTAGCCAAAACACTCCCCAGCCTCTAATTTGAAGAGTCATGCTTAAAGGTGATTACTCATGCAAAATAGCTCCTGCTATTCATCCTGGTGATGTTGGACACCTGAGATCTTTAAGATCCATGAAGTTGGGAGAAAATGTTCCCTGCTGAATCTGCTGTGCCCATCATCTCCCATTGAATCAAATGCACCCCAGGAATTTTAGCCAATTTTGGGTAGCTCCCTTGCCTTTTTAGTTGGCCCTTCTTGAAAGAAGGGTGAAGACAGCATCTCACCTCACTGTCATTTTCGCAAAGCTATCAAGAGATATGGGATCACCTGCCTCAAGATTAGAGATATTTATTTGGGGTAAAGGACAGGGGGAGACAGAGGTATTTTGAGACACGTGGTCCCATTTTATTGTTTATGGYTTCATATTCTGGCAAGCCTGCACAAAGCCTAGGTCAGCAATACTTGATGCTTGCTGATGTTTCAGAAGTTCAAACTCAYGCCCCTGCATTAGATTGGGGATTTTTGTTTGACTGCTCTTCGTCTCTGCAGGTCTGAAATGGGAGTTTGGAGCTGACAATGAAAAACGCACTCAGGCCCTGTTTGGGCAAGGAGTGGGAGCTGCAGAGCTGCTCCTCACTTTTACACAGGGTTTGCACCATATTGGCTCGTCTTGAATCCCTCAAGGATTGCACCACATGGCGCAGAATTAATACAGAGTAAAAATCTTGAGATTTACCCATATTGATCTAGTAAAGTAATAGCTAGCAAACCCATCACGCCCCTGACACTGAAGGAAGCCCCTAAGGTTGGTAGTGTTTCCAGGCTGTGTCAAGCACAGGATATGGCACGACTGGACAGAGGGGTCTGGAAGTCTATGTAGACAAGAGGCAGAAATTTTCATTTYGTTCTTCATTTCTAGTAGCAGCCCTGTCAACAGATGACCTTAGATAAACCCTGTTTTAAGMCAGAGTTTACCCATTTTCAACTGAAGCCCAAAGTTTACTACATTTTTGGTTAGCATTCTCCAGCTGTGCTTCTACCCTCATTTATACTGTTAAGTTTGTATTAATTTTGGGGGGCTCAAAGAAACTACCTCAGTTTAAAGCTGATAGATCTTGAGATGATAAGAAATGAAGTTGCAAGAAGTGAATTGCTGGACTTTTGCCAGCTCATAGTCTGCATTTGGACCCAGGCTGGTGAAGAGACAAAGTCAGCAGGCTTTTAAAATCTATCTCAATTATCATGCCAGGATGAAAACTTTAAGGCCAAGCACAAGGGAGGCCGAGAGCAAAACAGGTCGATAGGGAAAAGAGAGGCCACTGCTTGAGAAGTTATTACAAACATGTGTCTTCCTCTTACATGGTTAGATATGGTACTGCACAGAAAAACACTTGAGTGCATTACAGTACCAGGAAGTGGAACGGATACTGTTTGCTGGATTAAAAAATCAAYGGGCTCATTAAAAAAGATATAAGTAATAATAGGTCTCTGCTGAGACCTGAAAATCTACTTAGAGAACCACTGGGAAGAAGAAAAGACATTAAAAAAAATCAGAAAGAGAAATGTGGTATGAAGGAATCTCTCCCATTTTAGGTATAAGGCTTCTTACTGTGCGGAGGAGGCTGTTCATGCAGGTATGGTAGAAAACTGCAAGTCTTCTAACATTAACCACTTGTTTCCATTTGCTCCATCCTCCCTCCATTCTCCCCTCAGGTACTTCTACATATTGATTAGCTCCCCTCTCAGCCTTCCCTTCTCCAGGCTAAACAGGCCCAGCTCAGTCTCTCCTCATACAATAGATGCTCCAGTCCCTTAATCGTCTTTGTTGCTCTCCAGTGGACCTTCTCTAGAAGCTCCACGTCCCTGAGATCTGTTAGTGAGAACTTCCCAAAGGAGAAATGCTTCATATGTTCACCAATAATATAATTTCAACACTGGCCAACCACACCTCGGTGCATGCAAGCAACCCCTCAGCCACAGTTAAGTACTCTTTTATCATTGGCATTCAGCCTCAGCATCGAAGCTACTTGCTGTTTGCCAGAGAACATTTCTTTTTTCAACAGTAATCGGATGCTCAAGATGACCAAACCAATCATAAGTTTTCTGAGATCAAGTAATCGATTTGGAAAAAAAAAGTACGTATTTTGTTAACTATCTTTTTTTGTTGTTGCTAAAAGAATGTTTCTTTGTAAATGGTCTGTTTTGCTGTTTTAAAGAATAAAATAAGAAAACAGTTATCTTCCAAAATGAAATAAAACAGTTATTTGACTCAGGAGAAAATTATTCATCTGTTTTTTGGTTCCCCCGGCAGATTGAAATAAAATCAATTATATGCATACAATCTCTGTGTCACCCAACTGTTCTTCCCAATGCAAAACAAAAGGATTACAGATGCAGAAATAAGGGAGCCCCCGAGAAACTGAAAGAGGAAAAACATCCTGTATTTGTCTTAAAGCTAAATATGAATTAAAAATGCAGGCAGTGCATTTAGGCCCCCAAGGGAGAGATTTATTTCTAATTAATAATATGTTCATGCCCTAGCCCTATGCATTAAACCCCACCCTAGATTAGTCCTTCTGTAACATGGTAGCTAGAAACTCTCTGAGTTACCCCAGTCCAATCCCAGATTTAATTCTACTGTGATTACTAGGAATAAACTGGAGAGTTTATTTTCTTCCATCTACTGGATTGAAAAGAGAACTGTCCCAGAAAATCCTGTAAACATGTTTTTACATGAATATCCAGTCATTCGGGGTTTTTTCTTTTGAATATTTACAATATCTCAGAGATAATAAAAAGAAAAAAAAAAGTAACCCTTTTTTTTTTCCTCCTTCTAACTCTCCTAATTAAGCTTTTCTACTTCAARAATTAATGAAAATACAATCCTGGCTGTGAAATCCCAACAGATCTATCAGGACAATGGTGCCACAGGAAGAATGGGTCTTGCCCACTGCTTTTAATTAAAAGCTCAAACAAAAGTGTAAGTAGATTAGAGGGGCAGTGGAGAAGCCTGAGTCAGAATGTGTTTCTCAAA